GTTCTGCTCCATTCCTGTTTCTATTCTGTCCTGTTGTTCTGTTCGTATTCTGTTTTGCACCATTCCTGTTTCTATTCTGTCCTGTTGTTCTGTTCCTATTCTATTCCGTCCTGCTCCATTCCTGTTTCTATTCTGTCCTGTTGTTCTGTTCCTATTCTGTTCCGTTCTGCTCCATTCCTGTTTCTATTCTGTCCTGTTGTTCTGTTCCTATTCTGTTCTATTCTGCTCCATTCCTGTTTCTATTCTGTCCTGTTGTTCTGTTCCTATTCTGTTCCGTTCTGCTCCATTCCTGTTTCTATTCTGTCCTGTTGTTCTGTTCCTTTTCTGATCCGTTCTGTTCCATTCCTGTTTCTATTCTGTCCGGTTGTTCTGTTCGTATTCTGTTTTGCTCCATTCCTGTTTCTATTCTGTCCTGTTGTTCTGTTCGTAATCTGTTTTGCTCCATTCCTGTTTCTATTCTGTCCTGTTGTTCTGTTCCTATTCTGATCCGTTCTGCTCCATTCCTATTCCATTGCATTCTATTCCATTCCAAAGAATCTATTCACTGCACCGAATCTTCCGCAGGCATTCCAAGCAAGGATTCTGGGGCCTATCGGGCAAATGAACTGGCAGATCAGGATAAACCACACAGCTTTTGTGCAAGGGAAAGCAAAAGTTTTGCCTTCTCCTACACAATTCGTCCATGGAACGGCTTCCTTCCAGAAGCTGCGGGTGCTCCATCACTAAACGTTTTCGAGAAGAGATCGGACAGCCAATTGTCCGGAATTTATAGGGCAATGATGGGCAACCTGCGGCTCTGGGGCCGCATGTGGCTTTTTCATCCCTCTGCTGCGGCTCCCTGTCGCTGGTTGGCTTCACAATTGATAGGCCTTTCGATTATGACAGGTAGGGCAAAAAGGACGCTGCGCTAGGAGACTCTATGGTAGGGGGAACTGTACTTCCGGTTGGTAGGGGAAAAAGGACGCCGCACTAGGAGATTCTATGGTGGGGAAAACCGGACTTCCGGTCGGCTCCAGAATTGAACGGGGCACTTCCGGTTAGGACCTTTGTGGCTCTTTTGAGTGTTTAAGGTTGCCGACCCCTGTTATAGGGGGTTGGACTAGAAGACCTCCAAGGTCCCTCTGTATTCTCTTCTTACCTGAAGCCAGCGCAGCTACTGAGCACCACCCAGGAATCCCGGTGTCCTCGGACGTAGCCGTGAAAATAACACAGTTCCTGCAAAAGAGAGGTCACAAAATGGGAAATGCTTTCAGCCAACAGGATTATAATTGCTGTGAATAAAGAGTGGCAAACAGCTAAGCCTCTGTCTGTGTTCATTACCGGACGGAGCGGGGGCAGGACAGCTAAGCTAGGTGAGACTGGAGATTCTCCGTCATCCAAGGTGCTTTTTCAAGAGGCAGCTGGAATTTCTTGTGGTTGTTTTTTCCTGAAGACATTTCGCTTCTCCTCCAAGAAGCTACTTCAGTTCTGACTGAGGGGCGGAGGGTGGAAGGATTTATATTTCTTGCCGTCACCTGGTCATTAGTCCTCCCTGTGAGAGTCCTTGAGGCCATCTGGAGATTTATCTGTGCCTTGAATAGTGCAAATAGGTGTGAAACCTTCTTGGATTTGCTGAAAGGGCTGTGTTGTCGTCAACACAATCCTTGTGACTATCCCAAGTGGGCCTTCATCAAACCCAAAGAAAGACCCAGCAGGAGCATTTCCACCACAAAGAAAACGACAATAAACAGAGTGACTGTTGTGATTCCATACATTGCAGGGACATCTGAAAAGATTCAGGAGGCTTTTCAACATAAATACACCCACCCACCCCGAGGATAAAACACCCAGACACAAACTGAGCCACATGGTCTATGCAGTACAACGGAGTGAGACGTGTGCAGATCCGCACCTTGGAGAAGCAAAAAGAGCCACTTCACAGATGGGTGGGGCAACATAGGAGGAGAAACCCATCGGGAGGAGATTCGGAGTCCATCTGCATTTGAAAGACAAAGTCTGCTCCTTTGAAGACAACAAAGTCCATATTTTGGACTGCTGGGTTTGAAAGTGGGGTCAAAGAGGCCATCTAGGTTAAAATTGAACAGCCCTCTATTGAACATCAATCTATTCATATCTACCTATTCTCCCCCCCCTCTCTCTAATCTATCTATATCTGTCTGTCTGTCTGTCTGTCTGTCTATCTATCTATCTATCTATCTATCTATCTATATCTCTATATCTCTATAATCTATTCATCCATCTATCCATCCATTTCTTTCTCTATCTATCCTATCTATCTATCTATCTATCTATCTATCTATCTATCTATCTATCTATCTATCTATCTATCTATCTATCATCTCATCAATCTATTCCTATTTATCTACCTATCCCCCCCTCTAATCCATCCATCTATCTATCATCTATCTATCTCATCTATTTATCTCATCTATTTATCTCATCTATCTATCTCATCTATCTATCTATCTATATCTCTATAATCTATCTATCCATCCATCCATCCATCCATCCATCCATCCATCCATCCATCCATCCATCC